GTAGGTGCTGAAACCACATGTGCCCTCAGAGTTTGGGGAGCTTCATATTCAGCACAGGTGCAAAGCGTTTCCAAATGTTTACATCTCCAGTGTGGACAAAACCCTCTGTCCTGTTCAATATTTCTTCACCCCCCAACCCCCACCCCTGACATTATGATTGTGAGCCAAGTCTTTGGGTAATGGGTTTGTTTTGAGAAGAACAAATGATAACTCAACCCTCCGTCCTCTCCCCACCTAAAAGGCTGCCAGAAAGGCAGTCACACTCAGATCTTGGGACCTTGAATCCTGCCCAAAATTCTAATCTGGAGCCCAGGAGTCCATTGAAGAGTCACCTCGCACTGCATATTGTTAAACACAGAAACCCAAGCTCAGCTGTGTTTGCAGCGGAGGAGACCACACAGGCAGCAGCTGGGGCCAGTGAGAGAACGCCTCCCAAGCTGGAGTCTGGCTTGTGACTGCAGGAGCAAGGACACGATATTATTGACATTTTCCTTGTTTGAAGTCCTCTTGGGGCCTCAACACTTGGGTTTGTGTTCACAGTGCTTGGTGAGGCCCTGGGCTCAGGCTGCCTCCTCTGGGGAGCATGGGGGTCCCAGACCTGCCTCCTCACAGGGTGCTGATGAGACCAGGGCCCCAGCTGCAGGCAGCCAACTGTGGGAGAAGGCAGGAGTCCCACCTCTTTCCCCCACACACCAGTTAGATGGCCCTTGAAAGGGTTGGGATATGCGGCACTGTTTCCCGAGGCCAGCAGGAACAGGTGGGTAATCTTTACACTTGGCCGCTCTGTCCTTGCGTGGTGGTGATCCAAGAAGCTAAGCCAGCAGGAGCGGATGCAGGGAGGAGCCAGGGATGGCTGAACAGACGGTGGCAGCTAAGGCAATTGTTCAGCTTTTACTCCCTGTCATTTTCTGCCTTTCTAGAATTTTACTCTGAAGATATGGCTTAGAATTCAGCACTCAGGGGATCCTGTGCAGATTTCTGGACCTCTTCTCTGCCTCTCACCTGTGCCTCCCTCACAATGTACAGCTGCCTCAACCTCCTCGAACTCCAATTTCTATCTCAATTTAGCAAGTTTGTCAAGCTCTGTTTGGATTCTCCCTTGAGTTTATAGTCTGAAAATGACTTCCATGCAGAAAGTTGGGGCAACTGTAGGGAATCACCTCATTTGTTTCCTTTCTCTCAGGAATCTCAGTTCTGCCCTGTCTTATTGTTCCATGCCTGAAAGCAGGTCCACATTTCGTTTGTTTAGAGAGAAATGTAAAGTCTAATACTTGTTATTCCAGCATGGGTGGGAGCATATGTCTCAATAAATATTTGATTATCTCTTGCAATAAAGTCCTAATAGGTCTCCTTGTCAGATAGTTCTCCATTGGGAAATAAAACCACAATTTGAAAAACTGCACTATTACTAAAAACCTATAAAGTGTACTAAAGCTCATCATACACAAATTACCAAAGCTTGAGCTGTTTTTTGTTTTTGGTTAATCCTCTCCCAAGGATATTTTCCCATTGATTATTAGAGAGTGGGAGAGAGAGGGAAAGACAGAGAGAAACACATTGATTGGTTGCCTCCTGCATGCACCCTAACCAGGGCCCAGGCTGGGCAGGAGCCTGCAGCCAAGGTACATGCTCTTGACCAGAATCAAACCCGTGACCCTTCAGTCTGCGGGCCAACACTCTAACCCAGCCGCGGGCAAACTACGGCCGTGGGCCGGATCCGGCCCGTTTGAAATGAATAAAACTATTGAAAAAAAAGACCGTACCCTTTTATGTAATGATGTTTACTTTGAATTTATATTAGTTCACACAAACACTCCATCCATGCTTTTGTTCCGGCCCTCCGGTCCAGTTTACGAACGCATTGTGGCCCTCGAGTCAAAAAGTTTGCCCACCCCTGCAACCTCTGAGCAACCGGCCAGGGTGCCTGAGCTATTTTAACACTAGCTCATTCAGACCTGTATATTCCAAGAGAAGACTACATTAACAGGAACTCAATATGGTCTCATATGTCTCAAATTGTAAGGAACACTGACACTGCTCCAGCAGCGTTTACAAATTCTGACCAACTACTGCCCAGACCCACTCACCTACCTCTGCCATACAACCACCCCTTGACTAGCCCTAGCCCCTCCCCTCCAATACTCTTAAGTGCCCTTCCCTAACTCCTATTTGAGATGAGACTATGAAGGTATTGCTCTCCCTTGCTCATGTGAATGGCTTCCCAAGCAATCTTTCATGAGCTTTGACAATCAGGGGTGCTCCAAGGAAGTTCAGCAGGGGACCACCACAGCCAAGGTCCAAGCCCATGGACTTAGAAGGTTCTCCACTAAGGCCCCATAAGCTTGCCTGCATAGGGTTTCCTTGTCTGCAAGTATGAAAAAAAATTCAGTGCTAAACCTGAGATCCAATCCCTTTTTGATGAAATCCCAAATCTATGTGAGGTTTATTTTGTCTGCCCTAGGAAAAGAATCTAAGACCTTTTAGGTATCTGATGACATTTGTACTAATTTTAATTTTCCATGAACTTATCTATTACTGTGTAACAAATTACTCCAAAACGTAGTGGCTAGAAAAATATTTATTATCCCAGTTTCTGATAGTCAGGAATCTGGGGGTGGCCTAACTGGATTGTTCTGGACCACAGTCTCTGGAGATTGCAGTCAAGCTGCTGGCTAGGGGAAGGCTTGCCTGGGGAAATACTCACTTTCGAGCTCATTCACATGGATGCTGACAGACCTCAATTTCTTGTTGTTGGCGGGAGACTTCAGTTCTTCAGCATCTGGGTTTTCATGATATGGCAGCTGCCTTCTCCCAGAACAAGCGATCCAAGAGAGTGCTTGAGAGTGAGCAAAACTTAAGCTGCAGTCCTTGATGACCTAATCTTAGAAGTGACAAACCACTTCTGCCATATGTTACGTGTCACACAGACCAGCCTTGGCACATTATAGGAGGGGATCACACAAGGAAGTGACTACCCATAGTTGGAGAATCCAATCTGAGCCCAACTCAGAGGCTGCCAAAGCACAGATTTGTCACTAGGTCTCTTACCTATTGGATACACTATTGTGTGTCTATAAGAGCTTTCCTTAAATAAGGCCCCTGCTCATCACTGAGGAAGCTAAGACTCTACACCAATATGCTATATATTGAAAACTTTATAAATGTACTCAATTGTTATAACTCTGTGAAACATCCAATACAGTCAACACTTAATAAATCAAGAATAGGAAGTTAATTTATTTTTTCATGCATTTAGTAAGTAGTGGGGCTAGGCATTCGCAAGTCTACTATTCTTCAAAGTTTAGGATCTTCCCATAATTCCCTGCTTCTTGTGACTGGTTCCTGGCTCTACCCTGGCTCTTTCTAGCTTGATCTCCCATTAACCTCTTATTCACCTCACAATACCTCCATACTCCACTTTCCATAATACTGTATGGATGTTAAGGTCTCTGGGTTCTCAGTGTTAGTCTCATGGCTAAAATCTCTATATGATACCAGTCTTTTTGAAATTTTTTGAGCTACTGGTACATGGCAAATTTCATGAATATTCCATGTGCACTTGAAATGAATAAATATTCATAATAGACAGTCTTCTTCATAAGTTCATTAAACCGAGTTTGTAAATTGTGCTATTCAAAATTATCTTTGCTGGTATTTTTTGTTTGATCTAATAAATTAGTGAGGTATGTTAAAATCTCTACTATAATGGAGGATATTCATTTCCTTGTAGATGGATCTGTAAGCACCTGTTATTAGGTGCATACAAGGTGTATCTTCCAGGAAAAACAGATCTCTCACCATTATATAGAGCCCACCTTTACTCCAGGAGAGGAGGAAAGATAAAGGATGAGAAGAGATAAAGTAAGGGGGGTGGGGTGTGGAGAGACAGGTAGCATGGAAGAAGGGAATGGGAGCCAGTAACAGAGGTTTATATCCAAGCCTTCTCTCCTCCTTACTAAGGGAAGATAACTAGCCTTTCCAATGGTCTGTAACCTGCACAGTGGTTAGAGACTCTTGGGGTGGAATATTTTCTCCCACCCATGCCAGTGAGAAGACAGGCACATTTCTTTGCTGCTTCCTTCTGAGAGGAAAAGTGCATTTCAATCATCCTCCCACTGGGGTTATAGCCCATTGGGAGCCCAGCTTTACACAGAGGTCTTATTAGAAAGTCCACCTGGGGCAAGCCTGGGCTTTAAGTTTACTATCCTACGCTCAGTGCAAAGCAGAACTCAAGACTTCTATGCTTCCTGGTTTCATTTCAGTTGGGGTTCTGGAAACCTGTGGCTGTGTATGTGCATGTGGCTCTAAAATACATGAACAACATTTGAAAAATGATTTTATCTAGTATTTTAGTTGAATTTATTGAAAGTGTCATTCAGAGCCTTCTCCATGTATTTGAAATCCTATTCATCCCTCACGATTCAGTTCTCATATCGCTGCTTCCAGTAAACTCTTCAGTGATCCCACCCCTGCCTCACATCCAGTGAAAATTCATCTTCCTGTTTCCACTACGCTGTTTCTCCCTCAGTTCTGGCAATTACCACACACTGCCTCACTTTTTTGACAGTTACATTTTACTCTACCCAATGAAAAAGCAACTCTGTCATGGGATCCTACGCCAGTTATCTTGGGTCTTATTCCCACTCCACTCTCTGCTTCTGGGGAGGGTAGCAAAATGTCCTGTCTACAGAATGAGTGCCCTAATTGTTTATTGGCTTCAATTTTTTCTCTTAAAACATATTCTTAGAAATTCCGACCATAGAAGTATCCAATCCTAAGGCAAGTGCTATCTAAAAGAGCCTTGAGTTGGGCTGCTGTGTGCTATGTTCCTCAAGAAAACATGATTTTTCAAGGACCTTGGATAGGCCTCCCACTGCAAGGGCCTTCCAGATGCTGACAGGTATATACATTCAAATGGAATCTTCTCATATCACCTGGTCAATTACTGAACTTGACTATAATTAAACAGATTGTAGATGGAATCACTTTAAAGCTTTAAATAAAGTTCAAATAACACAGTGAAACTTTTTAATATTACTCTTAAGATCAACATGAAAAAGAATCACAAGCCTCTCTGTCATGAGATACTCTGCTTGGTCTAGAGACACTGAGGGAAGAATGGCTCCCAGGTGATTGCCATCAGGGAACCAGGGAGGGGGAAGCAGCCAGCGACCTGAGGGCACTTCCGCAGACACCACTCACCAATGACCCCATGTGAATTCCACGCCCACACGATGGAAAATCACCATTTTATAGTTTCATAACTGAAAAAATATTTTCTTAGAAACAACAAAGCAAAAAGATAAAAACTTTCAACCAGAAAGGTTGACTTAGATTAGTTATGTCATTAAAAGGTCTTTGAGAAGAAAGCTCAGTTCTGACTTGGAAGAGTATTGGTCTTAGCTCACTTCACATGAGTTCCGAGCTAAGACGTCAAGGAAGCAGTGCAACTGCCTCTCCCGTCAGCTGAGACCACTGAGCAGATGCCTGCTGCTGCCTGTCTCCTTGTCTACATTCTCATCTACGTGCTGTGAAGAAAGCCTGTAACAGAGCAGGTGCCCCTGTCACAGATTCGCTGGGTCTGAGAGTGTTCTTATCTTTGAAAGGAATGAGAATAGACAGGGAGACCAGATAGCAGCAGGCCTAGCCTCAGCAGCCTTTCTGGGTGATGTCCAGTCCCGATGACTTTGTTATCTCCAAAGTGGTGAATACCTGTTTGAAAGGAAGAAAACAAATTTGTGTTTAGCCAACAATATTTCAGTACTGCTTTATGAAAACACATTCTGAATATATCTATTCCCCTTAAAATATGCAAAGTAGTTACTAATACAAAAACTTTCTGACAATGTACTTTATAATAGTTTTCAAACTGCAACAACTGAAGTCAACTTAAAAAAACCTCCCGTTTCTGTACCTCACCACATGTGGGGTGAATTCCAATAGTGCCATCAAGTAGCTGTTTCGTGAGCCCACATTTCATTGCAGCTGCAAATCCTTGGGTAACCTCACCGGCATTTGGTCCAAGAATATGAAATCCTACCACCCGATTCTTTAATAGAAAAACAAAACAAAGGGAAGCCTAGTAGGTTAATGATCTGAATAGGAACCTAATCACTGCAAGGTCATAGTTCAAACAGACAGAATCTATACAGAAAAAGAACCAATGTTGAACTCAGCATAGAACATTGCCATGAAATTGAGCCACTGTAACAACCTGTTAAATGAGCCAGTAAATGCACATCCAGAGTAATCTCCACTCAATTTACTAGAAACGAGCAATTTACCCTCTGCATGAAAGAGCTCATTAATATGTATGGTAGAAATTTCTGAATTATGCTGAGATAGTGCTAAATAACAACATACAAATCTGAATTAAAGTCCAACACTGGAATCATTCTAAGACAGTAGGTTTCACTGGCATTGCAGAGATTCCCCGTCCAGGAAGCAAGTAGCCTGGCTCCTTAAATAACTAAGGGAAGATCAAGGAGCAGTGGGGATGGGGGCTTTTCCCCAGGACTGCATGTTATAAGTTGCAAGGCACATGTGATGAGCAGACCACTGAGACAGAAAGCAGATTCGGTGTAGCCCTGGCAAGTGTGGCTCCACTGTTTGGGTATCATCCCCGTTCGATGCCCAGTCAGGGCACATGCCTGGGTTGCAGGCTTGATCCCTGGAAGGGGCTGTGCAGGAGGCAGCCAAAGGATATCTCTCTCTCTCTCTCTCTCTAAAAAAAATTCATTAAAAATATATTTTTTAAAAAGATTCACAGTGTATTTCCAAGGTACACTGCATTTAGGATGTCCTTTTGTCCATGTTTTTCATCAGACTCTAGTCTTTGTTTCGATCTTCAATAGTAAAAGTGTACAAGAGAAAGAAAGAGCTTCAGAGGTTTTAAGGCTGGCACAAAGTCTTGCCTCCTCATATTCTTCTAGAGAAAGAACAATAGCTCAAAGCAGCCAACTCATACACATCTACTGGTGTTGCTGAAATGGAGAGCTCCAGGAGCAGTGTTTCTAGAAGGGCAGTCACAGGCCACAGGGGACCTGGGTAAAAAGTGGAGTTCCCAGGGCCTCACAGAAGACTGAATTGGAATCTCTGAGGCAGTGCATTGTACACACAGAAAACTGGGAAAAGACAGGCAGCCAGACAGAGTAAAAACATCTGATGACCTCCTCCCTCCCCCCCCCCATTTGAAAATGAAAATGAAGGCAGATTCTGTGAGAGTGAAGACCTAATTCCAAATTTTTACCACATAGCTATAGTAAAATTCATAGGATGGTCCTCTAGAAACAGAAATATGGACAGTAGTAACAGAAATTAACACGCTCTCCTGACGACGGTGAGCACGTGTGTGGGAGGGGGGCAAACAGGGATCGTGGGCACAGCTGAAGGAGAGCAGAGGAGTGGCAAAGGACAGAGACGGGGGTCAAAAAGAGGGGTAAACAGACCTGGAAATTCTGCCTCAGGTCCGACAGCCACAGTCAACTCTGTCAAGAGGTCAGAAATAATTGAACCCCATTCCTGCTCACCTTAGGGGGCCTCAGTGCATAGTCTCTGCCTGCTCCCTTTGGAAATGCACCCACAACTTCATGACAGCAACCTCAGATTACTCTGTAAACTTTATGTCAGCTATTGCTGTCCACATGCATCTAATTTTGTGTTTGATCTCTCCAGATAAATTATAAACTCTTAAAAAGGGAGGAACCAAGTGCTAATGCTGCTTTCTACGCTCAGTGTTCTGTATACAACCAGTTCTAAATAAACTGTGCTTTAAACTCCAATAATCAGGCATCTGTTGTCAGTTTCACATTCACCTCAATAACAGGGAAGGCAGAGAAGGCTGCAACAACCGGCTCTCCACTCCACTGATTCTTCTTTAATGAATTGCTTCATTAGGAATTAGTTAATTTACTAGAGTTTTCACTTTGTGTAAGCATCTCCTGGTAAAGGCTTTGTGACACACATTCACTTTACATATACCTTACATTTTGTTAGCTGATGATCAAAATTTTCACAGATGATCTGGTTCTAAACTGCCCAGTTAGGTCTGGGAAGAGCCAACTTTCAATGATTATTTTGAGAAGGTATTGGTAAGCCTCAGTCACAATCTGTCACTTGTTCAACCAGTGCAAACACATTAATTGGGTAATAATTTGAAGGATTTATGCCTTTCCCTGAAAACTACCTTTAAAGAGATCATAAAAACCCACATACTAGAATAAAAGCTACATTTCAAAATTACAGCATTTCAGCTTCCGATCACATTACGCACATTATCGACTTTATTGCAAATTATCTTTGCATAACAAGTATTGTTGTCTCTGCCGGCTACTGTCCATTCAAGAGGCCAGAACAAAGTATGATATACCTGGAAGACAAAAAAGAGAGAGAAAGAGGCCAAGATTAGCATATATAAAAATCACACTTCGATATGCTCTTCAATTATATAAACACTAGAGGCCAGATGCACAAAATTCATGTAAGAGTAGGCCTTCCTTCCCCCAGCTGTGGGCACCAGCTTCCCTCTGGCACCCAGGACCCGGGCTTCCCTCGGCCCCAGCTTCATCCAGAAGGACATCCAGTCTAATTAGCATGTTACCCTTTTATTATCATAGATAATAATCTCTATAACAGCTTTCAAAAATTTAGAGTTCTATGATTCCAACTTTATATAGCTGATTGGAGTACCTAGGCCAGAGCTCCTAAAATGCCAGCTGCACAAGTGTGTTGATCTTTGTTTTGCTCTACTGTTAGTCCATAAAATCTATTAACTAAATTCAATTCTCAAACATTTATAGAGTACTGCCATCCAAGGCAATGCACTAGGCTGTGTGTGGATTGAAAAGATAAAGACTTAGATCCTGTCTTTGACAAGTTTACAACCTTCTTACAAGGTTCATTGTTAAACCAAATATAGGAAGAGCAGAAACAATTCAACCCCATTAAAAGATATTAAGAACATTACCTATGCTACTTGAAAGCCCTTACTCTAGCACCCCGAATACACTGCTCAGGCTTCTCAATCTGGCTCAATCATCTAAGACCCAGAGCAAAACACATGTGACCTCCATCCTGTTTGGGGAAGCTATACATTTTCCCAGAATTGTTCCTCCTAATATTCCCATATAGAAAGCAATGGATTAATGTTTGGTACCAGGATTTAAAAAAAAAAAAAAAAGGATTCTAAACTACAGATGGTCCTCGACTTACAATGGTTAACTTACGATTTCCTGACTTTACAATGGTGCATAAGTGATATGCTTTCAGTAGAAACAGTACTTCAAAATTTGAATTTTGATCTTTTCCTGGGCTAGCAATAAGAGGTAAGATACTCTCTTGTGATGCTGGGAAACAGCAGAGATGATTTTGCTCAACTGTACAGGCATACCTGGTGTTACTGTGCTTCACTTCATTGTGCTTCGCGGATATTGCATGATTTTACTTGAAGGTTTGTGGCAACCCTGGGTAGTACAAGTCTATCAGTGTCATTTTTCCAATAGCATTTGCTTTTTGTCTCTATGTTACATTTTGGTATTTCTCACAATATATCAAACTTTTTCATTATTATTATATTTGTTATGGTGATGTGTAAACAGTGATCTCTAAAGTTACTATTATAATTGTTTTGGAGCGCCATGAACCATACCCATGTAAGATGGCAAAGTTAACTGATAAATGTGTGTGTTCTTACTGCTCCACCAAACTGGTGTTTTCCCATCTCTCTCCCTTTCCTTGGGCCTCCCTATTCCCTAAAATACAACAATATAAAGTTTTAATCAGATATTTCCCAATACCAGAAGTGTAAGTAAGAGTTTCAATAAGCCATTAGGCCATTTAACTAGGAAATATCAGTGCTATAGTTTAAGGAAATTCCCAGTAATAAATTAAAATGTCTTTAAGGGAGAGAACTGAAATTTCAACACTTTTTTGCTTAAAACCTCAAGTAGTAATAATCCTCTAACTCTTTTCTTTTTCCTCTCTATACTTCCTATGTTGGGAGAGTGTGCAGAAAAAAGATACCCAAGCCACCCATCAAAATGTAGAAAAATATTTATAAGGTTGTTGTGTGTAACTGAAGCAGTGGTGAAGGAGAGATGGAAATAAATGTATGGAGGACATCTTTGTCAGAGTCTAAATGGCCCACAGCCCACAAAAACCTTGGGAACTGCCCATCGTTCCCACCTAGAGTCCACTGGTAGTGTAGGTTCCAACAGCCATGTTTACACTCCATGAGTCTGGCTACCATCATACCAAATGGAAGTGGTTGGATGGCAGACCCGACTCGGACCAATTTTGAATTAAGACTGAGAAACAGTGAGTTGATCAGTTCCTCTTACATCCAGAATTATCAGATAAACTTGGGAGCAAAAGAATGGCCATAGTTTGGCTGCTATGTGCATTCTAGGAGCAAATAAAGTCTATCTGCAGGAAGAGAGGAATGAACTACATGCACACACACAAACATACACATAAACCCCAAGCAAGTAAAAGAAAGAGGTGAGACGGTCTTACAATTCCTGGTTCTTAGCCCTTCCTAAGGCCTTGATACATTCCCAAAAAAAATCTCATAATAACTTATGCTTCCTTGTGTAAGCTTACTCAAGTAGATATTTGTTACCTGTAATTCAAAAGTCCTAATGCATACAGTATACATCTCTTTTTCCCCAACCGTATTATTAGTTTGCAAGAGAGATACAGTTTAAATTATTTAATTTTTAATTTTTCTAAAATAGGCTGGTTTCCTATAATATAGCCATTATAATCACTTGCAAAATGACAAAATAAAGTGACTGAGAAGACAGTTGATTAAAAGAGAGATTCTTAAAAAGTAAACAAAACATAATCTTACTTCTAGATTCTCTTTTTTATGTATTTCAATAGCTTTCTCTTCAGATAATCCACAGCAGCCGTATTCCAGAGGAGTAAACACCGTAGTTGGAACATTAATATAACTGCACTGAAAGATAAACAAATTACACGCTCTTGTTTTGTGACACTCTTTTTAAATAACAACAATCTCTATCACATACATTTATAAAAGGAAACTAAGTAAGTCCAGTTCAATGTAACCGGTTCTGACACATCACCAGATCAGGAATTCTAAGTTACACTAAAGGAGATGAGGTGATCCCTGACCACAGGGCAGAGACCACAAGCTGGCCAGTGACCAATGAATAGGACTGGCTCTCCCAGTGCCCCAACCTCAGACTTCTGGTCTGAAAGCCACAGTAGAGGAGAAGATAGTGCACTTTGTTGCCCCTACAGACATTTTCTACAATTTTTTCATTCCATCCCCCACAATTCTGGAGCATCTCTACCAGGTGACAGAGAATGACACTATTTCACCTGAAGCTCAGACCACCCTTGCCATTTCATTTAATAGTGTCACTGACATGATGTGCAAAAAAGCTGCTCAATAGTGTGGGACTGAGTGAACACGCTGGATCATCAAGTGGAGATGGCATGTGTGTACTTAGGGGCCAGAGTTGCATGAGTCCCATGGTTACAATGGCGCCCCTCCCAGCCCTTCTCTGACCAAGAAACAACACAAGTGGACAGCACAAGAAGAGTGCAGGCCATGAACCCTACATGCAGTCTTCCAGCAGCTTTAGGCATCTGTCCGTGGGAAAACGGATGCGAGTGTAAGTGCCTGGAGAAGACAGTGTGTTTGTGACTGTGTGGAGGAGATTTAGAACACATTGGCAGAAGCATCATTAAGACTGTGTGTGGCGAGAAAACAGTGCGCAGGAACAGAGAAAGAAAGGAGGGTATAACCAGGATGAACGTCTCTGCACCTGCCCATCCATAGTCCTCAAGGGGTGACACTGCTTAGAGCACTACATGTCGACCAAACCCCAGCCAACAGGTTACAGTTTATTAGGTCGGGATGACATCTAACCCCAAAGAAAGGTAATCCATAAGCTGGCCAAAAACTTATGCAAAAAAAAGGTGAACTGCATCAAATGGTTTATTTTGCAGGAAAATGACTAGGAGCAAAGAGAGGATCCTCCAGGTGGTAGTTTGACAGAAGAAAAAAAAAAAAGAGTTGTGGCCAAGTGAGGCTACAGAAGGGCACCCTGTGAAGCGCCCCTTCATATTACTAGGGCCCCGGAGAAGCTGTGACACCCATACTCAGCCCTGCTCCAACTGCAGTGAGGCCCTGCACTAGCACAATCCTTGTTGTAAGTCACTGTGCAACTTGACTTACTCATCATCAACTTATAAGAAACTCCCCCAATTTGCCTAGTTTGAGTGACTTCTATTTTACCCAAAAAGAAAAACACATCAAAACACCACCAGGTACACTTGCTTCAATGAGGTGGTTTGTGTACAATATACATCAGCCTAGAGTCTTTAGCTTAAAATATGTTCTCGTCCCATTTTATGTTTGCTAACCTGTGAATCATGAAGCATTTGTGTTCTTTTTGCCAACATGGCTAGAGAAAATCACATAACCATGTGGACTGCCTGGTTTTCTGACTTCTCTTAGGCCATCAAATGCTCATCAATCCATTTATTGACCAGCAGCTGATCCCATATCCCATGGCTTACAGTGGAAGTCTCATCCTCAACGGATGCCTCTGTCTCCTGTTTCGTATCAATTGAGAAAAAGCAACAGGTAATTCCTCAACTTTCCTCCCTTTCATCTGAAACACTTTCTCCACATCTTATACTACCTCCTCCACTTGAGCTGGACTTCCTCTTACCCTATCTGTAGCCTTCCTTTTAGTCCTGTACCTTTAACCTCTCTCTTTTTACACACACACACACACACACACACACATCTTCAGAAAAGGAGAGAACAAAAAATGGCAAAACATTAATAACTGGAAAATCTAAATGAAAGGGTAATATGGGTGACCGTTACTATTCTTTCTGTGGTTTGACATCTTACCAAGTGAAAAGTTGGGGATAAATAAAATTAAGATCTTCAACAGCTGCCACTGCCTACAGAAAGCCCTACTGATTCTTTTTTTTTTTTTTTTAAATATATTCTTATTGATTTCAGAGAGGAAGAAAAGGGAGAGAGAGATAGAAACATCCATGATGAGAGAGAATCATGGATTGGCTGCCTCCTGCAAGTCCCCCACTGGGGATCAAGCCCACAAATGAGAATGTGCCCTTGCCCGGAATCGAACCTGGGACCTTTCAGCTTGCAGGCCAAAGCTCTATCCACTGAGCCAAACCAGCTAGGGCGGCCCTACTGATTCTTTACTGTGGCATCACAGAGTTCTGATGATCTGACACCAAATCAATTTTCCAGCCTCATTTCCAACTGTACTCCTCTGTCACCAATCGCTCTGCCTACATGAGTGACAGAATGGTTAGCATTCCTGACGCCCAGTAATACCACTTCCCCAGTCATTCTTTATCCACCAACAGCTCTGCACATCCACAGTGCTCCTGATGGAGCAGAGCATGACCCACCCCAGCTGGGACCTCCTGAGAAACTGCTCATAGTCCTAGAAAAAACCAAGCATTGCAGAGCTCTGGGCTTTTCTACTTACCACAAGAGCCCTTTGCTTCCTCAATTTTAAACTGCTCACCCTAGCCCTAGCTGGCTTGGTTCAGTGGATAGAGCATCGGCCTGTGGCCTGAAGGGTTCCGGGTTCGATTCCCACATGCCCAGGTTGCGGGCTCGATCCCCAGTAGGGGGCATGCAGGAGGCGGCCAATCAATGATTCTCTCATCATTGATGTGTCTATCTCTCTTTCCCTTCTCCCTTCCTCTCTGAAATCAATGAAAATGTATTGTAAATAAATAAATAAATAAATTGCTCATCCTTAAAACCCATCCCAAATCTTTGATCAAAGACTACGAAAGGGAAAATTTAAGTGAGGAGAGAAACCAAGATGGCAGCATAGGTAAACACCTGAAATTGCTGCCTCGCACAACCACTTCAAAAATACAACTAAAAGAAAAAACGGACATCATCCAGAACCACAGGAAGGCTGGCTGAGTGGAAATTCTACAGCTAGAAGGAAAGAGAAAAGCACACTGACACTCAGAGGAGGTGCGAAAGTAAAGTGCAGAGGTACGGAGGCGCACGCGGAAATGGCTGGCAACTGAGGACGCGGTTGTCTTTTTCAATCGGGAGGGAGACACACGATCCCACTCTAAACTCCAGTTCCGGGCAAGTCACTGGGGACCCAGACTCATATGGGGAGAAACTGGACTGTCTGATATCGGGCGGAACTCAAGGGCAGCTTTCTCGAAGAGGTGCTTGCAGCGATTACCGCGGGACACTGAGACCCAGGGCCGCTTAGGGCAGGGCTGAGGATCAGCCATAGCTGTTTGCTCTGCCCTATTGATTCCCTGAGACCCCACCCCACCCAAGCTGTGCGCAGAGGCTTTTGCATATGAATGGCCTGCCCCTTTGCAATCTAAACTTACCTAACAAACTGCAGCTGGGTCAGAGAGACCCAGAACATCCAAAAGAAGGCCCAAGGCCCCACAGCAGATTGCATTGCTTCACAGCTGGGCCTCATCTGGGCACCTCCAAATCCCAAACAAAGAGGAATCTGCAGATCTCTCTGTAGCTCCTGCTGGGTAGCCTCAGGCAGAGGCTAAATTAGCACCTCCTTAGAGATCCAAGTGCCAGTGTACCCAGTGGTCAGAGTGGGACCATCCAGATTACAAATCCTCAGATCCATAAGGAACACACTCAGGGGGCAGATTCAGTGAGCACTAAAGCCCCACTGAAGCAAGTCTTGCCCCATAAGGGTGTCTCCAGCAGAGAAGTTCTCCCACCATAGACACAGCTGATTCTCACAGCCAATTGGCCTGGAGGTCAATTCCTGCCAGTGATACCAACTACAATCAAGTCTTAACTACAACAAGACTGTGCACACAGCCCACAAAGGGGTGCACGAAGAGTGTCCACCTCAGGTAATTGGGGAGGCTGAGCTACTGGGCCCTATAGGACACCCAGCACAGAAAGCCACCCTATCAACACAGGGAAGCAGCCAAAATTCGGAGACAAAGAAACAGGTCACAAATGACAGAAATGGAGGAAAGCAAACTACTGGATATAGAGTTCAAAACCTCGGTTATAAGGTTTTTCAAGAATTTTCTAGAAACCACTGATAAATTTAGTGAGACCCTCAATAAATCTAGTGAGACCCTCGAGGATATGAAAAAGGACCAAATAGAAATTATGCATACACTGACTGAAATAAAGAATTTTATACAGAGATCCAACAGCAGACTAGAGGATCACAAGAATCAAGTCAAAGATTTGAAATACGAAGAAGTGAAAAACACCCAACTGGAAAAGCAAAAAGAAAACAGAATCCAAAAATACGAAGATGGTGTAAGGAGCCTCTGGGACAACTTCAAGCAAACCAACATCTGAATTATAGGGGTTCCAGAAGTAGAGAGAGAGCAAGATATTGAAAACCTATTTGAAGAAATAATGACAGAAAACTTCCCCTACCTGGTACAAGAATTAGACTTATAAGTCCAGGAAGCACAGAGAACCCCAAACAAAAGGAATCCAAAGAGCACCACACCAAGACACATCATAATTAAAATGCCAAGAGCAAAAGACAAAGAGAGAATATTAAAAGCAGCAAGAGAAAAACAGTCAGTTACCTACAAGGGAGTACCCATAAAATTGTCGGCTGATTTCTCAACAGAAACTTTGCAGGCCAGAAGGGAGTGGCAAGACATATTCAAAGTGATGAATAGCAAGAACCTACAACCAAGATTACTTTACCCAGCAAAGCTATCATTCAGAATTGAAGGTCAGATAAAGAGCTTCACAGATAAGAAAAAGCTAAAGGAGTTCATCACCACCAAACCAGTATTATATGAAATGCTGAAAGGTATTCTTTAAGAAGAGGAAGAAGAAAAAGGTAAAGATAAAAATTATGAACAACAAGTACATATCTATCAACAAGTGAATCTAAAAATCACGTGAATAAAAAATCTGATGAACAGAATAAACTGGTGAATATATTAGAATCAGGGGCATAGAAAGGGAGAGGCTAAATTAGCACCTCCTTAGAGATTCAAGTGCCAGTGTACCCAGTGGTCAGAGTGGACTGACAATTCTCAGGGGGAAAGGGGTGTGGGGGGTGCAGGAAGAGACTGGACAAAAATCGCACACCTATGGATGAGGACAGTGGGGGGGAGGTGGGTAAGGGCAGAGGGTGGGGTGGGAATCGGGTGGAGGGGAGTTATGGGGGAAATAAAGAGGAACAACTGTAATAATCTGAACAATAAAGATTTAATTTAGAAAAAAAAAAAAGACTGTGAAAGGTAGAGGAGACTGTAGTAATCACCTAATTCAAACCATCAGCTTTGCAGATGGTGAAACTGAGGTTAAGAGAAGTGAAACAACTTGACCAGGTTCACACACTAAGCAGGCAATGAAGCCAGGGCCAGCATCCCAATCCACTCTGAGTGTCCCTCCTACTCTGTGACAGTGCAACCATCCACCTGGGAGGCCTCTTTAGATCTCTTCAGTCAGAATGAACTGCTCCTCTCTCTTCTTACTCAGGACCCCCACCTACCTATAAGCCCTTGGTACTGGAACCATACCAATCCTTTGTATATCACCCAGCACAACATCTTGCACATACAGATATTTAAAAAATATTTTTGAAAACCATTAGTAAATAATAAGTTAACTGCAAATGATTTGTGAGGAACCCTTTACTTGCAAAACAAGCACACAAATTTTATTTGTACTGATTTTTTAAGTCAAAATTTTTATTTAGATATTATCTCAAAAACAACAATAAGAAACGTACCTTTTCTGAATGACCCCCAAAAAGTCTTCGAGCCAACAGCTTGCCTGCCTGTATAGCGACGGGAGTGAGCTCAAGTTTACCTTCCAGGACATCTCCGACAGCATAAACATAGGGCACGTTGGTCTGTTCTATGTCGTTGACTGGTATTTTGCCACTCCTATTCAATTTTGAAAGTAAATATATATATGACTAGCTCTATGCTGCTGGATGACTAGCACTATTCCAAGAGGACTAAGTACATAAAGAAAAGACCTCTCTCTCAGAACTCATGCACCTCAGTCATCACCTGTCTGTAAGACCAATGACTTATAATAACAAAGGTATCTGTAGTTCCAAAAGAAAACACCTTGCTGATTGATGAAACTATGCTCATTTTTTGGATGTCGAGGATATTCCCAGATTTCCCCCAGAACTTCACGCAGAGCTTTGAAATTTTTCTCCTTGCCTGACCAAGGATATAAAATTTACTTTAATTCAGATAGTAGGTGAAAAAATAATTGTTTTAATTTTATTTTTTAAAATCATGCATGAGCTCTTTAAGGCACACAATAGTTACTGATTGATTAATGAAAAAAATTGATAATAGAGCTGGGACAGTATTTACTATAAAATAACATTAAAGCATTTAAAAATGTTGCAACTTAGTAATTAAAAGAGAATTTTAAGAGGTGATCTGTAGAAGCATTTTGCTTTGTGCATTAATAGTGCAATGATCCCACAGGTACATACTTCTCACTGACTTTGACACCAATCTTCTCCAAGCCTATTTTCCTTGTAGAGGGCTCACGGCCAACTGCTAATAAAACCTATATTTAGAGAGAGATAAATTATCAATATCAGGAATGAAAGCAGGAACATCACTATAGATCAGCGGTTCTCAACCTGTGGGTCGTGACCCCTTTGAGGGTTGAACGACCATTTCACAGGGGTCGCCTAAGACCATTGGAAAACACATATATAATTACATATTGTTTTTGTGATTAAACACTATGCTTTAATTATGTTCCATTTGTAACAATGAAATTGGGGGTCACCACAACATGAGGAACTGTATTAAAGGGTCATGGCATTAGGAAGATTGAGAACCACTGCTATAGATCCTTCAGACATTAAAATACTAATAACTATTATGAATGCCTTATGCCAATAAATTTGACAGATTAAGTAGATTCCTTTTTTTGAGGTCAAAGTGCAGTTTTAATTGAGGTATAATTGATATATAACATATTAGCTTCGGGTGTACAACATAATTTGATATTTGTATATATTGTGAAATGATCACCACAGTAAGTCTAGTTAACATCCATCACCACGCAGTTATACAAATTTTTTTCTTATGATGGGAACTTTTAAGATCTCTCTTAGCAACTTTCAAATATACAATACAGTATTATTAGCTACAGTCACCATGCTGTACATTACATCCCCCAAAGAGACTCCTTGACACAATTTATCAAACTTACACACAAATCTGAATAAGGCTTTGTTACATGCTGAATTATGCCTCCACCCAAATTTATGTGTTGAAGACCTAACTCCCAATACCTAATCCCTAATACTTATCAAAATGTGACTGATTAGAATGAGACAGGACCTTTAAAGAGGTAAGTAACATAAAATGAGGCCATTAAGGCAGGGCTTAATCCAACATGACTAGAGTCCTTATTAGAACACACACATACAGAGTCCGGAACAATCACGTAAAGACAGAGAGAAGGCAACCAACCACCTGCTAGCCAAGGAGAGAGGCCTAGAAGAAACCAATTCTACTGACACCTTGGTCTCATGCTTCTGGCCTCCAGAACTGTGAGAAATTAAATTTCCTTTGCCTAAGCCACTCTATCTGTAGTATTTTGTTATGCTAGCCCTAGCTAATATACCCTATTTTCATTAAGGAAACTGAATGCACAATTTATAAAATTCCTATTAATTAACTCCAGACCCAAATGACTTCACTTGTAAAGTCGATTGAACACACAAGTAAACAATAACACTAGTGGTATACAAACTCTTCCAGAAAAAAGAGAAAGGAGTCTTCCCAACTCCTTTTTATGAAGCCAGCATAAACATCTGACACCAAAATCAAACAAGGATATTTAAATAAAATTATAAGCCAATATCTCCATGAACATAAGATATAAAATCGTTAACAAAATCTTAGCAAATCAAATATAACAGTACTTAAAAAGGATAATTGATCATGACCAAATGAGGTTTGTTCCAAAAATACAAATTTGATTTAACATGCAAAAATCAATGTAATTCATCATTTTAACAGAATAAAGGAGAAAACAAATTAATCATCCCAACAGATGTGGGAAAAGCATTTGACAGAACTTTACACCCTTGAGGATTCTAATTAAATCCTCAGCACACTAAGAATAAAAGAAAACTTCCCAAACTGATAAAAGCCATCTGTAAACAAAAGAACAGCTTTATATCCTAGCAATCATAAAAGACTGAATGCTTAGGATCACCCCTAAGATTGGTGTCAGATGAGGATATGCACTCACAATGTCTACTTAGCACTATACTGGAGTTCTTAACCAGTGCAACAAAGCAAAAAAAAGAAACAAAAAGCATGTAGATTGGAAAGAAGAAACCAAACTGATTTTTATACAGAGACATAAATCCTAAGACTCTACACAAGGTCAATATACAGAAATCATTTGTATTTCTATATACTATCAACTAATACTAAAGTTAAAAAATTTAAATACCATTTACAATAGCTTAAAAAACATAAAATACTAAAGATAAATTAGCAAAATATAAAAAAGACCTCTAGAGAAAAATGATGATATATTGCTGAGAGAAACTAAAGAATATGTAACTTTATACCCGTATATTTGGTAACTTAGATGAAATGGACTAATTCTTAGAAAAATGTAATTAATCAAAAGTAACTCAAGAAAAAAATAGCCTTAAACAGCCTTTGATTGTTTAAAAAAAAAATGAATCAGTGGTTATAAAATATATATATTCACAGAAAATTCTACATTCAGATGGTTGCATCAGTGAATTCTAGCAAACAAAGAATGTTCTAATATCACATAAATTCTTCCAGAGAACAGAAAAGAGGAAACATACTCCAAACTTCTTTCATGAGTTAGAATATCATAAGTTAGAAAATCTGAACATTTCAATATGTGTAAGGAAATTATAAGCCAATGATTCATGAATATAATGCAAAAATTCTAAATAAACAAATAAAACAACATATAAATAGTAGGAATAAAAGGTTGATTGAAGATTAGAAAATCAATATAATTCAACACATTAACAAATTTAAAAAAAACTTGATTATCAACAGCTACAAAAGGAACTATTACAACTGAACTCATACACTTATGATTTAAAAAAACATCAAAAATAACCAAAAACCCTTAGCATCAGGAAACAGAAAAGAATTTTTTTAAAAAATATTTTTATTTATTTCAGAGAGGAAGGGAGAGGGGGAGAGAGAGAGAAACATCAATGATGAGAAAGAATCATTGATCGCTGCCTCCTGCACGCCCCCTACTGGGGATTGAGCCTGCAACCCGGGTGGGCATGTGCCCTTCACCAGAATAGAACCAGGGACCCTTCAGTCCTCAGGCTGAGGTTCTATCCACTGAGCCAAACCGGCTAGGGCCAGAAAAGAATTTCTTTAACTTGATTAAGAATCTATAGCAAAACCCTACCAAAAACATTATTCTTAAATAAGGAAAAACGGAATACATTCCTTCGATACTGAGAACAAGACAAGCATGGCTGCTATGGCCATTTCTGGTTAGCACTGTACTGGAGGTCCGAGCTAGCAGGGTACTTATACAAGATGAAGAAGTAATGAGGAAGACAGTGGAAAAGAGAAATAAACTGTGGTTATTCACAAATAATATGAATAGGTACAAAGAAAACTCAAAATAATCTAAGAATAAATGATCAAATAAGAGTTTTTATTTTCTAATATATTTTTTACTTTGACTCTCTACATTTCCTTTTTTAACTAAAAAAAGTGTATAAGAGTATATAAAACATACATGTACAGTTTGTATTAAAACTATAAACTTTACAAAAGAAATGTTGTCATCCAAACACCAGCAATTTAAATTAGAATTGTTGTCATCCAAAATAATCCATGGAATGTTCACCTTTTTGGATATTTCATATTTGTTTTTTGAAAATATATTTATTATTGTCTTTATTATAAAACTAGAGGCTCGGTGCATGATTTCATGCACTTGGGGGGGGGGCGAACACTTAGCCTGGCCTGCACCCTCTTGCAGCCTGGAACCCCTTGCTCCTTACCGCCTGCCTGAAGCAGAGGTGGGAGAGGCTCCTGCCACCACCTCTGCGCTTGCCAGCCTTGAGCCTGGCTTCTGGCTGAGTGGCGCTCCTCCTGTGGGAGTGCACTGACCACCAGGGGGCAGCTCCTGCATTGAGTGTTTGTGCCGGGAGCCAGTCCATCCTTGCTGTTTCAAGGGACCTGGCATATATGGCATACTGTTCTTAATATTGTTTGCTCACCTTCTTGGCACTATGTGTTTTAACCAAGGTCACCTCTCTGAGAAAGGTTGTTTCCCCAGGTAGGGATTTTCCTCTGAAGTTAGGGAGGGAATAAAACCCCTTAACTAAGTGCCAGGAGGGTAATTAATCACTTTAACTATGAACAATCATGCTTAAGCTACATAATCTTTACTCCCTGGAATGGAGATAAGAAACGCCCTAACCTTTGGAATGGAGATTGATAGGATTGGAATCAACTGGTATAAATACAGATGTAACAAGACAACTGGACACAGAACCTACACAGAACCTAGAGACAGAAGAACTTCGCTGGAGAGAACATGGCAAAAGATCCTGGACAGAAATTGGCCACAGAACCTAGAGACAGAACCTAGCGAGAAAACATGGTAAAAGATCCTGGACAGAAACTGGCCACAGAACCTAGAGACAGAACCTAGCGAGAGAACATGGCTGAAGAACCTAGAGACAGAACCTGGCTACAGAACCTGGATAGAACATGGCAAGAGAACCTGACTAGAACCTGGTGACTGAACCTGGCTGGAGAACCTGGACAGAACCTGGCTGGAGAACCTAGTGAGGGAACATGGCTACAGAACCTGGCTGGAGAACCTGGAGAACCTAGCAAGAGAACATGGACACAGAACCTGGCTGGAGATCCTAACCAGAACTTCGCTGGAGATCCTGACCAGAACTTGGCTGGAGATCCTGGCTAGGCTGCTGATCAACTGAACGCTGTCTCCATGTCATTCCTTCTTCGCCGACTCCGTCCACACCTTTGGGGATCCCTGGACCTGCTGGGGTTGGACCCCAGCATGTTTGCTCCCTGGTCGTAAGTGCATGTCATAGCGACTGGTCGTTCTGCTGTTTGGTCAATTTGCATATTAGGGTTTTATTATATAGGATAGATTCATTTTTTTATTGCAAAAATATTCAAATGCAGAAATGTGTAAGATATCTAATGCCCCTGAACAAAGTACTAATAACAGTCAGGTATATCTGCTTCCATATTTTGTTCTATGTACAGTTACACATACACATGTATTTTAGCATGGTATTCTTCATATACCATTATCAAATGCCATATTTATTAAACTCTAACAAAGAATCCAAAAAATGTTAAGCTGTTATAATGTTCCCATAAGCTTCTTCTGTGCTAATTTATGAGTGTGTTCAGCCACTTCCTGCTTATAAAATAAAAACTTACTGTGTTATATACTCCTTCAATAGTTTCTGGTCCTTCAGTGGATTTAGCCACTATTTTCAGCTTCCCAGGTGAACCTTTCTCCAACTGTTGAACCTAGTAAGGATAAACAATGTAATGATTCTATCTAAAGGGGACAAAAAAAAATGGTCCTAGGGTATACATGTGAGTGTGGGTGTACAGGGACCCAGCCAGAAAGGCAGAGAGGGAAGGGAAGGCTTATTTGTTTAAAGATGAGAAAAACTGCAGGCCATGATGATAGAAAAAAAGAAGACAATTAGCTGAAGAGGGGATGTCCCCGAAAAGGTGAGAGAAGGTGAGGGGAACAGTGAGAGAAGAGAAATCCGAGCTGAGAGGAGGAAGGACACCACCGTGTCAGAGGAGGAGGGGACCGGGACCAAAGGGGCCAGTTTTGTAGATCCAGGGTGGGAACATTGTCTGCAAGGTTTGCTACTGAGTACAGACCAATTTATTTAATAAAGTGGAGGGGGAGTAAAATAAAAAGCTAAAGAGAGCGAGAATAAAAAGAAAATAAAAGGAATTCCAAATGTCATTCAGACTCACCATCACAGGTATAAATTTTCTTAAGAACTTAACACCATGTTGCTCCATGTAGGAACCCACTTTCTCTGCCATTTCTTGATCAAAGCCACGAAGAAGGACTGAACGCACCATAACTGTGACATCTAAGCCAATACCAGCCAGAAATCCTGCACATTCCAGAGCCACATAAGATGCACCAACTACTAATGTTTTGCCAGGGCAATAAGGCAGAGAAAAAAGGTCATCACTGAAAAATAAAAATAAGAAAAAGAACACCTAGGCAATAAAAATTACATGAGTTACGTAGGTTTCAATGTCTTTTGTTGGCTGAATTGCAATTTGGGGCTTGAATGAAGGAACACTAGAAGAATTTAGAGGTTTGTAATAGTTTCTCCTGTGGACGAGGAAGTACACCTCCATTTTTTCAAAATCAAATTAGTGGATCACAAGCAAAGTTTTTTAAAAAACAGAACAGAAAATGTTAGACTACATTATATGTGATAAGAGAAAATACTATTTTGTAAGTTTTGGATATGTGTGTGTGTTCACCCGAGTACTAACAGCACAATAAAAAATGTATTTCTTGCCCTAACCGGTTTGGCTCAGTGGATAGAGCATCAGCCTGCAGACTGAAGGGTCCCAGGTTCGATTCCGATCAAGGGCATGTACCTTGGTTGTGGGCACATCCCCAGTGGGGAGTGTGCAGGAGGCAGCTGATCGATGTTTCTCTCTCATTGATGTTTCTAACTCTCTATCCTTCTCCCTTCCTCTCTGTAAAAAATCAATAAAATATATATATATATATATATATATATATATATATATATATATATATATATTTTAATGTACTTCTTAATGTGCATCTGGTCAAAAAAGCTTTGAAAGTCATTGTACTACATTATACACTGTCCTCTGTAGAACTATCCAGGGGAGATTCCTATTAAACCGCAGTATTAGGAATAGCCACGATTCTCCTGATCAGCCAGTTCATTATTAGACACTAAAACTTAAAGCTAATTGTATTCGTTGACCTCCAGGAAGTTTAGGGCAAATTCTCAGAGCAATTACCTAGAAACATATAGCATATTTTTGTAGGTAAATTCGATCTTATTATTTACCTAACCTTATTTTCTCTTTGCTCCATTATGTTAACTACATAGCTTTTTGCATTGTATATACGTACCTTTATTCATCATTTCAAATCTTTGTGAAATAAAACAGGGAATAAACTGGAAACTCATAAACATAATATAATTTAATTAAAATGGCCAATTTACTCTTACCTAGTAATACAGTATTCTTTATCTCCTTGGATTCCCAAATACCGTGGCCTTGCACCTGTTGCTATGACAAATTTTGCAGCAGTATAATAAGTCTCTTGTCCTTTTCTATTGGTTGCCTTTAAAAAAGAAAAGTAAACTTCACTTCTCAACCAATACTACAAAGTACCAGACACCATGACAAACTAGTTACCACCCTTATGGAGCTTCCCATCAACAGGAACAGACCTGCAAAAATAGCAATGCAGTATGATAAGCACCACCATAGAAAATAGAAGTCTTTACAAAACATTAACCAAAAGACCACAGTGGGAGTGGAGTAGGGGACTGGAACGCTAGGCAAGAAAGGCTCCATAGTTAGTAACGTTTTAAGTAGGGATGAGAAAAGTGAAAAGATTTTAGAGAAATTGACATCTAAAGAGAGAATAGTACATAAAAATGCACACAGGCCTGAAAGCAGCTGGCATATGGGGAACAGGGCATGTACCTTGGTTGCGGGCACATACCCAGTAGGGATTGTGCAGGAGGCAGCTGATTGATGTTTCTAACTCTCTATCCCAACTCCTTCCTCTCTGTGAAACATCAATAAAATATATTTTTAAAAATATTCAAAAAGCAATGAAAGTGTTTAAACTAGGAGGTGGTTTCAGTGGGAGAGAGGGAGGGCAGCCTGGAGACAAGGACCTGCTACAAACAAACGGTGCAAGCTGTGAAGATGAAGTGGGAGGAACCTGAAGTTTCCTGCTGGAGTAACTGGAGAGACACTGGTATCACTAAGTGAGCAAGCATAGAAGAGGCAGTCTGGCTGAGAATGATAGGCTTATTCAACCAACTATACCAGGCAAATGACAGTGTGAATACGGATACTGACTGGAGTATACCAGGTATTTCTAGTTATGTTCCATGTGAATGATGCCATTTAAATTAGCCCATGTATAGTTCTAAAGGGGTAGCTTTAATTGGACCACCTCACACCTTTCTAGAGACAAGAAATGACTACAAAATACCCTCAAATTCTGTCAAGATCACTGCACACTATGCTACAAAAGCAGAGTATAAAAATAAATGGGTGCTGAGGATGATATTTGGCCATCTTTCATAACTCCAATTTAAAATATATTTTTTAAAATATATTTTATTGATTTTTTACAGAGAGGAAGGGAGAGAGATAGAGAGCTAGAAACATCGATGAGAGAGAAACATCAATCAGCTGCCTCCTGCCTATCTCCCACTGGGGATGTGCCCGCAACCCAGGTACATGCCCTTGACCGGAATCGAACCTGGGACCCTTCAGTCCGCAGGCCAATGCTCTATCCACTGAGCCAAACCGGTTTTGGCTAAAAGTTTTGTGTTCATTAAAATGGTTTCATTTTCCTTACATTTTGATCATATAACACATAAATATTACATATATAAATTTATAAAAATATACTAATTCTTATGCTACCTTTAATACTTTTATGAATATATATTAACGTTTCAATTAAGGTTTCATTTTTTTAATTAACACTATTAAAATTTTGATTGTTTACAATTGTTTAAACTTTTTCTTTTAAGATGGCAATGAGCCTGACCAGTGTGCTCAGTGGTTGAGCATGACCTATGAGCCTGCACCCCGTCAGGCACATGCTGGGGTGCAGGCTCGAGCCTCAGTAGGAGGTGTGCAGGAGGCAACCAAACCATGTATCTCTTTCATCATTGATGTTTCTATCTCTCGCCTTCTCCCTTCCTCTCTGAAATTAATTAAAAAATTTTTTTAAAGATGGCAAATAAGTTTAAATCAAGAGTTTTCTTTAAAAGGCATTTCTTAATTTAGCCAGACTTGTGAAATGCACTAACAATGGAGGAGCATGCGCTAGCTGCAGTCCTTAACGTAAACATGGAATTCTAGTTCAAGGCACGTACAAGCAGTAATAAAGGGAAAGCAATGAACAAGATAAAATATTCAGAGAGTACCTTTATTTTATGGCGTTCGACAAATTCTCCATAGGAATTTACATAGGCCACAGACTTCTCCCTCAAAGACAGCCCATAGCTCCAATTTAGAGAGCCAATGTGGTTTTGAATAGCTTCTGTCATGATCTCCCAATTGTGCTTTACTGGAAATAAGTAACCAGGATGAAGTTATCAAGTGGCTCTTACTATAAATGGTAAATTATATACAACTGCACAAGCTGCATGACATATTGCTTTAAAAAATCAAGAAATGAACAGAAAATAAATAGCAACTTAAACCGTTTTTATACCAGTTATGGTTTATACTTATTCCTCTTTTATATTATAAAGCATGCAAAAAAGCATAATTCTGAAAAGAATAAAACTGGAAAAAATATCCATGGGGAACAGAATGGCGAAAACTAGCTCTCCCATGGCCGTGCATGCAAAGTTATGAGGCAAGAAGATCACTACTCAGGAGCACGCAAGGACATTTTCACATGGTTGGCTTGTTGCACGTGGCCTTCTGCATGTGAAGGGAAGCAGGTCTCAGGTCAGTGAGCACTGCATATTCGCCTCCCCAGACAGGCCCAGGTTAATCCCATCTGGTTCCCCCAGTGGTAGTTTTATGATAGTGCATATCCTATATTTCTTTGTGATAAATGTGGTTAGTACTCACCATTGCATAGCATTTTTATTAAAATGTACACGCACTTCCTTTTGAAGTTGGGATGGGAGTTGATGGAATCAGATTTCTCATCAACCCTGTACCTTTTAGGTGGAGTTTATTTCCAGGCATTCACCTTATCTGCTGCTGGTCCCCAAAGGAGACACCGTCTCCGTGCACCACCATATTTATAAGACACAGAAGCCAGCCGGCGGCTCCCATCAAACTAGATGAGACCCATGAAGACAAACCCAACCAACTAAGGGTTCACCTCTGGTCACATTTGGAGACTCACCGCCTCTAGCGCTCTCAAGAAAGGCTCCACCACTAATCATCAGGAACATGGGACATTACAGTGTAGGCAAGAGGAAGAGGTCACAGTACAGAAAGGCTTGGCCAACGTAAACGTTTATAATAAAGTCAACTAAGATTTTGCAATCCAGAGAGTCATTCCGTTACTACATTACCCAACTCCCACCCCATGACCCCAGGAGGTTACGACCCAGCAGTGGCACATACCCTCATATCCTAAGATAATTGCCTCACTTCCCCAATAGTTGGAAAAGCTATTTTTCCAACCCTTAAAGTATCATTTATCCCAAGGACCTTGTCAGTTAAATTCACACTTCATATCCTTGTTTCTGGTTATTGTTGTAAAAGACATTCTATATTAGAGGTTCCCACACATGGCTGCACATCAGGACCCCTGGGAATCATGTTAAAATATACAGATTCTAGGACCCACCTCAAACCTATGCAATCATGAGCAGGACCATAGGAGGCTCCTAATGAATGTTAATTAAACAAATTTTAAACTAGCTATAGAAATACAAATAGCAAGTCTTTCTCTAAGAAACTCATTCTTTTTTTTCTCTCAATCTACATTTTTTATACCAGTACCCACCTTGTTGATTATACTCCCAGCCAAATTTCCTTGAGTCTTTTAATGCCTGCCCCAAAAGGGCAGCTTGATGCATCAGTTTCTTAGGAATACAACCTACATTTACACAAGTACCACCAAGACCTGAAAAAGAAAATAATAATTTTAATGTTTGTTTTTGGGTGTGTGTGTGTATGTAGTTTTACACATGTGCGGCGGAGTCAGTGTTATTAAAATATGGAAATGGCCTGCCCAGTGTGGTTCAGTGGTTGAGCATTGACCTATGAACCAGGAGGTCATAGTACAATTCCCGGAGAGGCCACATGCCTGGGTTGTGAGCTCGATCCCCACTGTAGGGTGTGCAGGAAGCAGCCAATCAATGATTCTCATCATTGATGTTTCTACTTTTCTCTCCCTCTCCCTTCCTCTCTGAAATCAATAAAAATATATGTATTTTTAAATTAAAATATGGAGATGACAAATTTGAATGGTTGGGGGTCAACATCATACTCCACAATAACATGCAAATGATTACCCAGACTTTTTAAGCACAGGTCTGTGAAGGAGGCCCAAGGATGAGCAAAAATGTGGATGTGCATTTTAACAGTTTTCTGGAGATGCTGTCCAAAACTTTCATTTGAGTCTAACCTATGAAGGAATCAGAACTGTATTAATTACTAGGTGTACCGGTTAATAATGCGGATTTTGTAATCAAAGAAAACACAATAATTTCAAGAGAAACATCAAAAGTGCTTTATTTATAGTAATGTCCATCACTAGCTACACATTTTCCCCCATCTTTCTGGTATTTTGTGGATATTGTCCCAACAGAACTTTTCTTGTTTTGAGGCAAACCATTCAGAGACCCAATTTTCCATTTCTTTGTACGTTTTGAAGTGCTGCTCAGAAAGTGCGTGTGCCATTGATTGGAACAAGTGGTAATCTGAAGGAGCAAGGCCTGGTGAATACAGTAGGTGGGTTAATACTTCCCAGGCTAGATCTTTTAACGGATCTTTAACTGGTTTTGAAGTGTATGATGGTGCATTATCATGAAGCAAAATTACTTTGCCGTATCTTCTGGCACATTCTGGTCGTTTCATGATCAAAGCGTGGTTCAAATTGATTATTTGTTGTCGGCAGTGATCAGTATTAACGGTTTCACCTGGTTTTAGAAACTCATAATACACCACACCTGATCCCACCAAACGCAGAGCATTGTCTTCTTTCCGAAGCGATTTGGCCTTGCAGTCGATGTTGATGGTTGACCTGGATCAATCCATGATTTTGTGCGCTTGGGATTCTCAAAATAAATCCACTTTTCATTGCCAGTCACAATTCGATGCAAAAAAGACTTTCTTTCGTGCCAGTGAAGCAACATTTTACTGATGACTTTTCAGTTTTCCATTTATTTTTCGTTCAGTTGATGTGGCACCCATTTTCCTTCCTTTAAAATCTTTCCCTTTGCTTGTAAACGATCAGAAATTGTTTGCTGAGCAACGTTTAATCTTTCTGCAAGTTGTTTTTGAGTTTGACATGCATCTTCACCCAATAATGCTTGTAATTGTTGGTCTTCAAACTTTTTCAGTTGACCTGGACGTTCTTTGTCTTTCACATCAAAATCATCACTTTTAAAGTGTTTAAACCAGCGTTCACAAGTATCTTGAGATGGAGCATGTTCACCATAAGCTTCTGGAAGTATACGATAACTTTCAGCAGCACTTTTCTTCAAAATAATGAATTAAAACTTCCCACAAATGCTCTTTTTTTGGCATGAAATTCAACATTTTTAAGCATAAAAATATCTATGATGTTAACACCTTCAGAAAATTTGACATATGAAGTTTTTGTTAAATTTTTTAAAAATATATTTTATTGATTTTTTACAGAGAGGAAGGGAGAAGGATAGAGAGTTAGAAACATCAATGAGAGAGAAACATCGATCAGCTGCCTCCTGCACAGCCCCTACTGGGGATATGCCCGCAACCAAGGTATATGTCCTTTATCGGAATCGAACCTGGGACCCTTCAGTCCGCAGGCCGATGCTCTATCCACTGAGCCAACTGGTCAGGGTTGACATATGAAGTTTTGAAGCTTATTGTCAATACAATAAAAGAGCATACATATCAAATCGCATATATATATATATATACATATATATATATATACATATATATATACATATGTGTAATTCTATCTATTGAAAAAAATCCGCATTATTAACCAGTACACCTGGTATATACTAAACCAGTGGCCAGAACCCCAGATTCCAGACTTTTCTCTTTGTAACTCTGACTCCTCTGAGCCAATAGTAGGTCCACTGCAATGCAAATTAGCTTTACTAATATAAAATTCTTGGCTATAATTTTTTTAGTAAGGTTGAATTTTTAAAAATAATTTTCATATTTTGTCAGGGCTCTGGCAGCAAATAGATGACAACTTCAAGCTGGGTAATTAAGTTTATAGAGAAATTATTACTGGGGTATGGGCAAGAAAAGCAAGGAGGGATAGAACAATAGTAACAACTACTAAGAGTGGGCTCATCACCAACCCTACATGAGGGACTAAGCACACCGAGTAGGTGCCACAGACCAAAGAGGGGCTGTGGCTTTCCGTAGGGGATGGAGCCAGCTTGCAGCAACCTAGGGAGGGAACCAAGAAAATGAAGACCTCCACTCCATCCTCCTCCCTCCTTCTGTACTCCTCCCATTTCCCCAAATGGCCAAGCCCAACCAGAAGCCAGAGGGCAAGATACCAATTCATCAGCCTTCTGGGATATACAACAGGGTAGAGACCATAAAGAATGGAATTAAAGCATAAACAGAAAATATCCAGCACAAAATCTATGTGTTCTATTTTATAGTGGAAAGAATGTGGAAAGGCAAGCACTCTCGTCTACAGCAAAGTCAAAGGCCTTAAGCTCACTGTGCACTTCAAACTGACTTGGAACAATCACACACACACTATTCAATTGACCATCACACAGCCATGAAAGTCAGTTATTAAATCAATGCAGAAACACAAAAAAATGTTACAGCAAACTTAAGTGAGCATGACACAGTTTACATTGCAATCACAACTATGTGAAAGTATTAAATGCATGCGTGTAAAAATTATTATGGCAAAAGTGATGGAATACTAGGTCAAGGAATTTTTTTTTTAAATCTTCCCTAAGCACTTGTTAACGATGTGATGGTCTTAGGATAATTACTTTACCTCATTAAGACCCAGTTTCCTCACCTATGGAACAGGCTAGTCATACCTCCTGAGATTGTTGTGACGATTAAATGAGATTAAACAAAGCAAAAATGTATGTAAAGAGCAAAGAACAACAAAGAAAAACAGCTTACCCCAGGATGTACCCTGAGGTGACGGGACCACAAAATCTAGCACCATTACTTTCTTTCCCAAAATGGCAGCTTCCTAGGGAAAACAGTGACATATAAAGAACTTGTCATTTTCCTCCCCCCAATTTTTCTATTCCCTAAATAAAAAGGCTGTGTTTGTGTCATAACATAGTCTTTTCTCTTTATTAAACCAGCTATTACAATAAAAGCTTGGACTGTAACATTAAAATTGGCTTTCTTTTTTAAGTAGCAGAAGAAAAGTCTTATGACAATCACCAGGGAAATTATCTTCAAGTTTTACTTTTTTCATACCTGAGCACATGCAAGGCCACCAGAACCACCGCCAATGACAATGAGGTCATAATCATATGTTGACTCTTTTTGAAGAAGCTTCTGTAATAAACCACTCTGATGTGCCTATGGTTTAATGAGAGAATATGGTATGACTTGTTTTAAAACTGTTTCTTTTTACCCTATGTTTAATCAGCATGGATTTCTCTTATAAAAATACTAGAGGCCCGGTGCATGAAAATTCATACACTCAAGGGGGCCCTCTCACAGTCCAGGACCCCTCAGGGGATGTCCGACTGATGGCTTAGGCCCACTCCCCGGGGGATTGGGCCTAAGCTAGCAGTCAGACATTCCTCTGGTAACCTGGGAGCCCTCGGGGGATGTCCGACTAACGGCTTAGCGCTGCCATGGAGGCTGGCTTCTGGCTGAGTGGTGCTCCCCCTGTGGAAATGCACTGACCACCAGGGGGAAGCTCCTGGATTGAGTGTCTACCCCCTGGTGGTCAGTGAACATCATAGTGACCGGTCGTCCCCCTGTTACGGTCAATTTGCATATTACCCTTTTATTATATAGGATTAGAAACAATCTACAATTCATGTAAACTGGAATTTAAATTTATCTGAATGGTATTCAAATAAAGTCCAACTGGTTAGAGTATATGCCAAAGTACATGTTTGTTATCTCCTGATAGGTAGGCATGTGTCAAATGACCCAGAGGTCATGGCTTTATATCTGTTATATGAGGTCCTTTTCTTTGGCCTAATCATTAACACGTTAAGCACCCAGTCACCAGTGACTGACACTATACTTTCCTTCCGGAAGACAAAACAGGCTGGGTGCTTAACGTATTAAAATATTATACCCAAGCACAATAAAATAGCCAAATACCACTCTCCTCTACATTTTGTTCACCTGTGCTAGGATTCCTTTTGAAAAAAATTCTTGCCCTGACCAGTTTGGCTCAGTGCATAGAGCGTCGGCCTGTGGACTCAAGGGTCCCAGGTTCGATTCTGGTTAAGGGCATGTACCTTGGTTGTGGTCACATCCCCAGTAGGGAGTGTGCAGGAGGCAGCTGATCGATGTTTCTCTCTCATTGATGTTTGTAACTCTCTATCTCTCTCCCTTCCTCTCTGTAAAAAAATCAGTATGTTTTTTAAAAAAATGATTATGCATCCTCAGTAGGACACGGACTTCAAATTTCTCATGGTTTCTCATAAATTGATCTAAAATTTTCAGCTTATTGATAAATTTCCTATATAAAATATACATTTTGTTTTTTCTTTCAACAATGATCATGAGCCTGGCTCTTCACTATATTCTCTTGTTCATTTGGCCCTTCTTGTGATCAGAAGTAGCTTAAATGAGGTTAGAGGATCAAATATGATTTAGCAATAGTTTTCTTTATATGAAGTTAGTTGCTCAATCCTATTATGTGGGCTTTAGAAATACCATGCTAGAACCAGCTCATCCTGGGAAGCACAACAGAAGTGCTATGAAACTACAGGACTCAATGGACGTAATGTGGCCCACTGAAGGATGGATGCCAATAGAGGCTTCCAGCACATTCTAACAAGAACTCCTTTGGCCTCCTTACTTTTAGGTGCCATGAGAGAAATCTGTCTCCTAGGCCTTTTAATCTTGAAATAGAGTGACTATCTCTGCATCTCCAGATTCATCCTCTGTCATCATTTTCTACATTAGGATTGGCAGGACCAGCATTCCTAAAGGTGTTTAGGGTCTATGATTACAGTACTTACCACCATCTGAATTGAGTTATAGTTTCTAGGACTAATACAACAGACTGTTACTAGATTAACAATACTAATCATAAGAGTAAGATACAATGTAGATCATCTTTTTCCCCCAAGAAAAATATAATTTTAATTATAATTTCAGATATAGCACAGTGTGGCTCAGCAGTTGAACATCAACCCATACACTAAGAGGTAGGTCACTGGCTCGATTCCCAGTCAGGGCACATGCCCGGGTAGCAGGCTTGATCCCCAGTAAGGGGTGTTGCAGGAGGCAGACGATCAATATTTCTCTCTTAGTAATGTTTCTATCTCTCTATCTCCCTTCTCCCTCTCTAAAAATTAATCAAAGTATATTTTTTAAAAATTTCAGATGTAAGTAGTTAATCAATCACTGATTACTATCATTTGCATACATACATAAAGAATATAAGAGAGCAGAATTTTAATAAAAGTAAATAACTAGTTATAAAATAAGAACCTTATTTAATAAACACCAGTTTTTATCTACTACTGTTTAACTAAATGATTCCTGTTTATTTCTGCATTCTAGGTATCAAAAATTCAAAGGCATGGACCTTTGCAAAGCTCCCAGGGTTAGCAGCCTTGACAGAAATTCTACTTACCCTAGCCAAGAACGTTAGCATTGACCTCATTTTAATAAACCTTAAAAAAGAACAGACCTTGTTTTTCCCCAGATCAGGAAGAAGAGACCAAGGTCTCCAGGGTGGTCCACCTGGTTGTCTGACAACCTTACTCAAAGCCTTCTCTTTATTAGTTTCTGAAATCTGAGTTGGTAGGAAAGCTAATTTCTGTCAAAGTAATAATCAAAGTTATCTGATAAGCATCCTATACACTTTTCATCTTACAACTTCCAAAAGACTAATAGACTCCTAAAAATCATTTTATCCCCTTTTAAATATTTTTAAAAACAAAATTTGAACAAACAGCATTCAAAAACACATAATACCATTATTACCTGGAAAGTTCGGTCACATCCACCCAAATGTACTTTATTCACAAAAATATTGGGCACCGTTTTCTGATTAGTGATCTCTGACAGCACTTCTTGAACACTGGCCCCATCATCTAAAGAATAAAAAATTAAATATATAAAAACACTGAAAGGGTTCCAAACCTTTGTGAGTCAAAATGAAGTGTTACAATACTTAAATGCTCTCACATACACATCCATACAAGGTCAGCATATTATATTACTTTATGAAATAATGACTCAAAAGGGGGAAACATCCAGGTTTTCAAGAGACACCTGTGATAATACAGATGAAGTAACTGATTCCTTTGAAAATAAACCCTTCTAAGTTAGATTCTGATATATAATTTCTTGGTTAAGAAAAGAAACCTCTAAACAGCTAATATCAAGATAAAATCCTCTTTAAATAGCAAATAGCAAATATCAACAGTAATAACTTCAAAAATCTTTCCTACATTTATATTTGAAAAATCTTTATGATAATAGTCCAAAATCTGTCCTCGATCCCTAAAAATAAAACCAGGCCACAACTACCTAAAACTATTGGGTATGCTCTTTAGAGAAGTCTCACAGACTTAAGAACATTTCACTAATTAAGGTGCCTGTTTAAAAGGAGTTGGTGAAGTCCCATGAAGGCAGACATCAATTTTTTTTGTGTTCACCACTCTGTCTCCCACCTATACAAAACACATGCATATGAAAAGTGCTCAATTAATATTAGATAATTAATGCATGTCTGACAAGAATTCAAAAGTGAAAGCTAAAAGATTAATGCGTTCTCCCTCATAGGTACTTCAATCAGGAAATAGGAGCAGATTCTTTTCATTTATTACAGCTTAATCTATTTTGCTAGAAAGTTACCAGATACATCTGAAATGCCTGAAGTGCTTCAAGGTTAGCAGCTTATATATCTTTCTCCTCCCCTCAAATACCAAAAATCTATAATAATAAAAGCATAATATGTTAATTAGACCAGATGACCTTCTGGACGAAGCTGGGGCTATGAGGGAAGCCCGGGTCCCAGGTCCCGGATGCCAGCAGCCGGAGGGAAGCCCAGGTCCTGGGTGCCGGAGGGAAGCCTGGGTCCCGGGTGCCAGAGGGAAGCTGGTGGCGGCAACTGGGGGAAGGAAGGCCTAGTCTTGCACGAATTTCATGCATTGGGCCTCTAGTATATAAATGAAAAAACTACACCAAATTATCTGTCCTATATAGAGAGGTTCATTTTCTACATGGTTGAATGTAGATAAAAACAGATCATGTAACCCAAAGAGACAAGAGTAAACTGAATTGAACAAAGCAAATGCAAAGAAGTCAATCTTGTTGACATTTACCGAAACAAAAGTATGTACTAACCATTCCACTTACCAACTTGATCAAGTTCCAAGATATTATATTCAACTCCCAAAGAAGAAAAGAGTTCTTTAACCTGTAACAAAAATTTGCTTTTACTCTCAGAGTCAACAGAGTTATAAATATGGACACAGTAATGAAGATGTCCAAAATAAATGTTCTTCAGAAATATGAGCTCTAGACTCTGGTTGTTTGTTGTTTTTAATCCTCACCCGAGAATATGTTTTTATTGATATATTTTAGAGAGAGAGGAAGGGGAAGAAAGAGAGAAACATCTATGTGAGAAACACTGATCAACTGCCTCCCATATGTGCCCCAACAAGGGATTGAACCCACACGCTAGGTACGTTCCCTGATTGGGAATTGAACCCTCCACCTTTGGTGTGTGGGATGATGCTCCAGCCAACTGTGCCACTCAACCAGGGCGGTTTATTTTTTTTTTATTCCCTTCCTCTATACATCTTCCCAGAATAATCTCAGCCCATCTCTTCCCTTATTTTACCATTTGAAACCTCAACTTTCAACTTTTGCCCAAATCCCTTTTCGGAACTCAAGGCTGGCAGAAAATATTTCTTCACCTGAATGTCCCCAGGCATCTCTCATGCAATATTCCCAAAATAAAACTCACCATTTCCTACATACATTTTCCTCTTTTTGTGTTTCCTTTCTATAGTCATTAAAGCAGTCAACAAAAACTCATCCATCAAATACTTATTATGTAGTCAAGCTATAACAATGAATAAGACACAATCCCTGCCCCCAGGAGGGGAAACAGACAAATAAATTGACAATTCACACTGCCACTATTCACCCGCTGCCTGAACAAGACAAAATCCTAGGGCCTTGCTATGTAAACAGGAGACAGAGGACCAGCAGCACAGGCATCACCTAGCAGCTTATGAGACATGGAATCAGGTCCTGGATCAAAACCTGCATTTTAACAACTTTGTGAAGCACTACCTATGAGTCATTTTAATGCCTCCCTCTTTTGCAACATCTTCCTACCCTACACTAACTTCCCATCCATCCAATTAATTACTAAGTTGTATCAATCCTCTGCTGAGCTACTTCACCTTTCTAGCTCCCAACAGTTGCTATCTTAATTTGAGCAGTTTCTCAGTAACATCCTCAGAGTTCTCTCTGCAACCAGCTTTGTCCCTTCCAGTTCTCTAAATTGCAACCAAAAGTAGACTCTAAAGCAGCCGTGGGCAAACTACGGCCCGCAGGCCGGATCCAGCCCGTTTGAAATGAATAAAACTATTGAAATAAAAGACCGTACCCTTTTATGTAATGATGTTTACTTTGAATTTATATTAGTTCACACAAACACTCCATCCATGCTTTTGTTCCGGCCCTCCGGTCCAGGTTAAGAACCCATTGTGGCCCTCGAGTCAAAAAGTTTGCCCACCCCTGGTCTAAAGTCTACTTTTCATCATTCCTTAAACCCTTCAAGGTCCTCTAAAGCCCAGAGAGGTTCTGATTCCAGGATGGAGACAAGGAGCCTGGCAGATTCACTCCCTAACAAAACATCCACAACTGGTGAAATTATGTTAAAAATAACCATTGAAAGTCTCTGGAAATTGACCTAAGGGCACACAACAAATGAAGAAACACCTATTCAAGAAAATCTACTAGATGCCAACATAAACAGGGAGAGTCTGAGGCACTTAACCCTTCCTCCTCTGTCCTGGGTCAGCTTGATAGAAGCTCCACTTCAAGTGAGTAGGAAAGTCCCTGATATCTAGTCATCAAAAGGGGTGGACCACCAGCATTTCCCAGTCTCCCCACAGCTCTGAGTGGCAAAGGCTACATTCCTGACGAGTGTGGCCAAAAACATGGGGGCCCCCTTCCTTCACCCAGCCACACTCAGGCTGAAAATACCAAGGACCTGATCACCCTGGCCTCAGCCCACTTGTAGCGTGAAGTTCCAGGCTGGGAGCAAGGTCTCAGAGGTTTTGCTCAGGGAAAGAGGTAAACCATAAGATCAGAGAGTTCAGAAGCTCTACCCAAAGGAAATTACTTTATTTTAAATTGTGTGGAAGTTCAAGTCCAAATGTGGTCTTGAAAATAATGGGAATTTTAATGATAAGCAATGAAGAGGAGGCTGGTAGTTCCAGGAGAACAATAAGCTAATCTGTAAGACAGTTAGTTTACCAGAAAGAAAAAAATAATAATAATAAAAAAAAGAAACAGAGAAAAAGAGAGCTAAGAATAATATATTTCTAGGATAAGAATAGTCTTAAACTTGCCATGAAAACTATCTCTGCAAAGGGGCCTAGATTTAATTAGATAAGAGTGTGGAACAATTTACCCTCCAGGACACTGTAAGAAATAATAGCACAACCAGCCTGAAATTAATGCTGCATAATATCTGGGTCTGATACCAGTAGAGAGAAAAAAAATATAACACAGACAAGAGCGCTGCTAAAATCCCTGTCATCCCAGGGTGACTGACTGTACATACTCAAGGCTGTACTCTCTGAGGAGTGACATCAAAGGCTTCATCTCTGGATGGAAATAAACATCCCTAAATCAAACCAGCCAACTCACAATAAGGAAATAAACAAGCAAACAAAGGAGCTACAGAGAAAGAGGGGTCCAGTACCTAAACTTGCTAAATATATTACCTAAAATGTCCAGATTTCAACAAAAAATTACCAGTCATACTAAGAAACAGGTAAGTGGATCCCTTCACATGAAAAAAATCAGGCAAGAGAAACTATCTGTGAGAGGCTCAGATGTCACACCAAATAGTCAAAGTAGCCACTGTAACTATGTTCAAAGAATTGAAGAACACCATTTCAAGAGATGGAGGGAAGTATAATGATAATGCCTAATCCAACAGAAAATATCAATATACAGATAGAACTGATGAAAAAGCAACCAAAGGAACATTATAAAGTTAAAAATTACAAAAATAACATGAAAAGGTGATTGGAATATCTCAACAGTTGATTCAAATTGGCAGGAGAATTAGTAAACTTGAAGACGGATCAATAGAGATTATGCAACTTGAACAGGCAGAGAAAAAAGAATGAATAAAAACAGACAGTCTCAGAGAAACACGGGACACCATTAAGCACATTAACATACACATAGTGTGCATACCAGAAAAATGAGAAAGCAGCAGAAACTGATTTCTTAAATAAGACACATAACCCACAAACCATAAAAGGAAAAAGGTGATAGATGCAACTACATTAAACTTGCAAACTTCAGTTAACCAAAAGATCTCATAAAGAGTGTAAGAGGAAAAAACAAATCTGGGAGGTTTTCCAATACATATAATCAAAGGATTATATCCAAAACATATAAAGAACACCTACAAATCAGTACACAGACAAAACCACCTGATAGAGAAAAAAGCAAAAGGACTGGAAGTTTCATAGAAGAGGAAACTCAAATGGCCCAGAAACACATGAAAAGATGATCAACTTCATCAGGAAATGTATAATTAAAGCCACAGTGAAATATCATTTCATAATTGCCAGAATGGCAATAATTAAATATATCAACTTTTGTCAAGGACATGAAGCAAAGGAGAACTATTACCCAGTGCCAGTGGGAGAATAAATTGGTATAACCACTTGGAAACACAGTTTGGCTACACCCAGTTAAGGTAGTCATGCATCCTCTATGGTTCAGCAATTCAGCTTCAAGATATCTACTGTAAAGTAAGTCTTACATATGCACTGGGAGATATGTGCAAGAATAGGCATATTGCTTTTAATAGCAAAAAAGTAGCAACGGCAGAATCAATAAACTGAGGTATGATTTATCCTAGGAAATGTTACAGTAATGAAAATTAACAAACCGCAGCTACAGAAACTAACATGCACCAATCTGTAAAACTTAACTGGTGAGAGAAAAAAACAGCAAAGGAATACATATGTATGATTCTACTGACATACAGTACCAAAACAGGCCAAAGGAACAAAACATTTTCAGGATTATATGTGAGTTTGGTGAAACTGCAAAGAAAAGCAAGAAATTTTGGAGAGTGGTTCACTCTGAGGGGAGAGGAGAATGTAATCAGGGAGAGACATCCGAGGAGGCTTCCCGAGTACTAGTCTGTTTCTTTATTCTTTAAGCTGTATTTCATGATATGCATACTTTATGAAACAATATATAAGGCAATGTAAACTTGAAAACAAATGTGAAGAGACAGCGTAAAATTTCACCAACCTACCCAATAATTTGTGCTTCTGCACATTCCACTTCAACTTTCTGATAATGTGAAGCATAGTTGAAAATATTAAAAGTCCCTAACATTCGATGGGTTTACCTTCCAAAGGTTCATTTCTAAGTGAGTTATTTTAAAACCCAGAACAATTTTGCCTATAAAAATGCTGGATTCCCAGTTAGCCCCCGAAGGTAAGGTAGTGTGAAATCTGCTGAAATTACCCATCACCTCCTACCATCCTCACACCCTTCCCCGCGGAGCTCCGCAACCGGCTCAAGGTCACGCGGTGAGTTAGATGGGTCTGACTCCAGCTCTAGTCTACTCCTCCCAAGTCCTGGCCATTCCTTGCACTACTCTGATCAGGCCAAAAGGTTTCTGATACATCTTTTATTCTTTCGAATAAACACTTGATAAATAAGCCAACATCAGACTAACAACCAGGAGGGAGCGGACGAGCGTTAACCACACAGGCCACAGTCCCAGAACAAGTCCGCGATCGCCTCTCCCCCGGAGCCAAAGGGGCCGAGCAGAAGGTCCCCGTCCTGGCTTCGGGTAACACCCCAGAAAGCGGGTCCCAAGCCCCGGCCTCCGGGAAGTCGTGGGGCCTCGCGGGTGTGCATCCGAGGGCGGAACAGGCAACGCTCCGCCCGAGTCCTGAGGTCCGAGGGCGCAAGAGGAAGGACAGGCCCGCCCCGCCCCGCCTACCCGCGTGCTATGCGGACAGTAGCTCTTGCTGAAGATCATCACTCGGTTGTCTTCGATGAGGCCCTGGAGACGGCGCCGTAGTTCTTCACGGGCCTCGGAGGACAAGCGGCTGGTCCCGGGGGATGACAGGCGAGCCCGGCGCCCCGGCAGCGTCGCCATGGGCTCGCTGTGGACGCCGCCCAGGCGGCGGTTGGGGACAGCGCCCACCTTAACCGGCCCCGCCGACTTCGGCGCCCGCGACGGCGGCGGCGGTGGCGGCGGATGCGCCAGAGCCTCGGTGTCGCCCCTGGCCCGGCCAGGCCAGGCCTGCTCGGAAAGACCGATCGGCGGGCGGCAGCGCCCGGCCCGAGGTTGGAAGGAGGAACCGCAAACGCCACTCACGCCCCACACCTGCCGCAAATCCCAGACACTGCCGCTCGCCCCGCCCCCGCGCCGCCCCGCCCCCGCGCCGCCCCGCCCCCGCGCCGCCCCGCCCCCGCGCCGCCCCGCCCCCGCGCCGCCCCGCCCCCGCGCCGCCCCGCCCCCGCGCCGCCCCGCCCCCGCGCCGCCCCGCCCCCGCGCCGCGCCGCCCCGCCCCCGCGCCTGTGCGCAGGCGAATTAGGCCAATGTGCGGGCGTCACCTACACTTGGAAAGTGGGTGGGGCTATGGCCCGTGGGGCTCTGAATAGAGGTTACCCTTAGAGGGTCCCGCGGTTCGATTCCCAAAGAAAGGCTCGCACCTGCCTTGTAGGTTGGGCCCAGTCCTGTAGGCTCGATCTCCCATCCGTGTGTGTGTGTGTGTGTGTGTGTGTGTGTGTGTGTGTGTGTGTGTGTCCCTCTCTTCCTCTCTCCCTTCTCTCTCTCAAATCAAATTTTTTAAAATCAATAAAAATATTAAAAATGTAAAAAATGGGTGGGTGCTCCGTATACCCTCATTATCCCTGTCATCATCCCAAAGCTGCCCATGGATGTCCTTTGCATCCGCCCATGGGTGCCCTCTGTGGTGGACTTTCCACGCCTTGTAATCTCTGCCAGCCTTAAAAATAGTCTTCAACGAGGATGTCTGAATCTTACGTAAAATTGTGAATAATGATATTTTTAAAAGTGTATTTCCCACAAACTAAATAAAAATACTATGCTCTCTATCACAAAATTAGTTTCCTAGATTGCTATCTCTAAGACCCTACCCAATACATAGAATTCTGGAGGCTTCTCTAAGACACGGACCCTGAAATCATCTGTGCCAGACAGGAATCCTGTATCCATTATTTGGGTGGATGGGTGGGTGGAGGATCTCAGAGTTCATCTTGGTCATGGTGATTTACAGCCCCCTTCTCTGCAATGAATGAATGAAATCCCACTACAGAGAAGGGCTCAACCATAGGACCAGCAGGAATGGCCTGGCCTGGTCCTTCTAAGGGTGCCATCTCCTGATCTGATCCCTCTGAGTCCTTGTTAAACCCATTACTGCCTTTTCTGCTTTTTCAGCTAAGGATGTTCCCCCTCCAGCAAGAAACCTATAAAGAGGTCCATATAATGAGGAACTACTTTTGCCTTTGCTTTTTCCTAAAGTTCATTTTTCACTTTTTCCTATTCCTTAAGTGTACATTTAATTCATTTATCTCTTCATTGTCTTTTAAAATAAATATTAATTTAGCAAAAATAAAATATGCTCACTACTTTTCTGCATAGAAATTCAAGCAACACATAAAAGTAGAAAAGATAACACTAACTATAATAATCACCCCAAAATCTAGTAAAAATATTATTTTTAATGTATCATGACCATCATTCAAACAGCTGTCAACCTCAAGGCCAGGTGGGAGCCACTGTCTCTGCATAGCCCTTGGGGTTCTTGAATAATTTGGGCAGCAAGATTCCAAGCCTGAGGTGCAGAATCTCTGTCAACTGGAGCAAGTGGGAGACTAAAGCAGAAAGTGTTGCACTATCTGGGTGGGCTGGCTGAGCTCTTGTGTTCAGACTCCAGCACTGAGTGCAGTGGGCTTTCACATGCAGACTCTCCATCACTGTCTTCCCAGTTCCCTGGGATCCCCTAGAGCTAAGGTGGCGGGGTTCTTCCGCTGCCACAAGGCCCCAGTTGCCTCTCTGCCTCTCCCACAGCAGGGCCCAGGCCTGGCATTGATAAAGGATTCTGGTGTGAATTCAGTGTGTTCCAAGCATGCCCCAGAGCCCAAACCCACTTGCGGAGGAGCAGTGGGGACAGACTGCGTTCTGCTGGTTGAGTCAGGCAGCTGCGGCCTCCCTCGCAGGTGTGTCCTGGTTGCCTGAAGCCCCGCACACCTGGGTGTCTCTTGCCCACTGAGAGGCTGCACCCACAGGGCATCTGCCGACTCAGTGACTCCGACACTCTAGGCCTTATTTTCCAATTAAACTATATGGGGAGCCTGACCTGGATCCACTGAGGTAACACATACAAGCACATGGCAATGAACTGTAAAGGCCAGGCCAGGAAAGCCTGGTGTGGATACACTGATAAAAAGGAAGTGGAGAGGCACCCTTATCTAAGGAATGTCCTGGGCCAACTACTGAGAGCCCCATCCTGGGAAGGAAGGCATATTGATAGTTGTGAAGAGCAGAAAGGGCTAAAGGCATTGTTCTACGGAGGGGAGGATAAAAGCTGCGCTGTCTGCTTTGGAGATGCTGACTCACTGAAACCTCACAGGAGGCCTCTGATCTCTCTGAGCTACTGTGATTATCCCCATTTCACAGAAAAGCTCTGACTTGCTGGATCCCACGTCTTAGTGAGTGGCCAAGGGGGATGCAGAATGGAAGTAATCAAAGGGTGGTGTGCAGGGGGAGACACTGGAGGGAGGCAAGTGAGAGGGGGCTGGGAGGCAAGGAGAAGGATGCCTTCTGGAGGTAGTTCGGGACCACTTCCACAGCCCACAAACAGAGGCCACCAGTATTGGATGGCCCCTCTTCCTGGAGGTCTGGGCAAGGAGGCACCGTGACCTCCGAGAGCCAGGTCCAGGACCTGTTGGCCTTTCCCTTTGCAGACAGCTTGGGAACATGTGCTCCTACCAGCCCAGACTGTTATACTTCCCAGAGCCTTTACACTTACCAGTTTGTAGTGCTGCATTTGTGTGATTTTCTGATTAATGCCTGGCACCTTCCCCCGAAAACTGGAAGCTCTGCAAGGGCAGGGAGCACCCGGGTGTTCACCACTGTGTCATCAGTGTGGAGTGCGTGCCAGCGCATGGTTGACACTCATGAGTAGTAGGAATGAAATGAAACAGCAGAAACTCAACCATGGTAAGGGTGCGGGATAAGGGACTCTGGGGTGTGATTTGCACAGTCATCTCTTTGGTCTCAGCTCCTCCTTCTATCTCAGGCCCTGACTCTCTACCTTGAATGCATGTGTGTCCTTCCAGCATGTAGGAGCTGCAGTGATGCTCCCTGGTTGTAGAAAGTGTTCAGAGGAAAAGAGGGAACAAAATTGATGATTTTTTTGAGGCTACACCTTTTCTGCTGCAGCTTTAGCTGTTTTCCAGCTGTGAAATATCTAAGTACAGCCATCCCATTTCACTGGAATGACTGTTTCAGGGACGTGACCAGGAGGTGACAGAGCTGGCAGTGCTCCTGGGATGGGAGGAATCACCCAGGATTCCATCTCAGAGGCTCTGATGTATCTCTTCTCCAAGGAACTGGCCTCATAAAACTGGAACCAGCACATTGGCCTCTCTGATTTGGTTCCTGTTCACTTGCAGGAATCATTTCACCTACAAGAATGTATTTATTCCTCAACCATAGAAGTGTCATCTCTTGGTAAAAGATGTAGAGTAATAGTTATTTAAGATGCGACTGGTTTCTGCAAGTTCCAGTATCTAATTTGGGAGAATAATAATTGTTGATTATTAGAAGCTTCATGGGGTTTTATTTCTATATTTATTTATCTTGCAACATTATGTGTGCTTCTTGTCCTTTAACTGTGATGAGTGAGTATTTTCTAAGGGTTCTCCTCTCCGCCTTTGCCTTTCTTCCTTTTTTAACAGCTACAAGAATTAGTGTCTAAATAAAATCAACCAACAGGAATGAGTACATACTACTGCTTTATGAATCTGACAGATGATTGTAATGGGCAACAAACCTGTAGACAGAAAACGTTTAAAACACCTCAAAGCACCTCTCTTCTGTCAAATTGTGATGAAGAATATCTATAGACTCAGGGAAGAAAGCTCAACCAGCCAGGGAATATGTGAATTGCTTAGGTCTGGCAGACAAGATGTTTATAACACTCTCGAGACTGAAATTCTAAGTGCGAAGATATCAAGGCTGGGCTTGTAGGAAGATCTTAAGTTTCTCCATTTACAAAGTGTATAAAATTGGGATTATTCTGTATTTATCCGTCACAGAGAAACAAAAGACACAAAGCCTGTTTCTTATAAAAAGCAGCAAGGGGAAATTTGGGAGTTCAACAAGGGGGATTCCAGGAACCATCCTGTAGCAGCGTGGCTGGGGCTGGAAGTTTCATCCATCCCACAGAAACCTTTGGGTCAACAAAACCCATCCGCTCTCAGTCCCCCAATGGCCCATCAAGGGCAGACATGAACACTCAACAGCAGCCACAGGAACCACCTGTGGAAAACTTCCTTACCTCCCTGCCACATTCATGCTTATTCATCACCCACACTCTGTTTTCCCTTTTTGGCTACTTTTGCATATTGGATCGGTCAACTGATCTTATTGTCTTGGGTCAACCCTTGGCACTTTGGAAGGATTTTCACACTTCCTGGCTTTCTCCTCCACTACTGCCCCAAAATAGGAAGATACCTCAATCTACCTTTGCCTCCCAAGGATCCAACAACTAATTCCCTAGTGGGGGCTACCAAATCAACTATAAGGGAATTACTATTTTGGAGCAATGGGGAGGTGTGCTGGGAAGGGAAAGAGAAAGGAGGAGCAAGGAAGAGCTATGTAGGCAGTTCCATTTTTAATTTTTTTAGGAAATTCCACACAGTTTTCCATAGTGGCTGCGCCAGTCTGCATTCCCAC